ACATAATCCAATAGGGAACTGCTTCTCTGTACCTAAAATTGTTGGCCACCTAACCTGGCCTTTGCCCTCATACCAACAAATATTGAGCACTGAAAATTTTAGAAATTTGAGCATGTCAACAAATTCGGTATGGTTGGCACACCAAGCCTGGTACGAATGCCACACTTAATTGAATTCTGTACGAATACCAAGCAAATCTGGTACGGATGCCATACCAGATTCTGTAGGAGTCATGCAGCGAATATGAGGCTGAGGATAAAGGCTTACTTTGTTCCTAGAGTTTGCAGACGCACCACGCTCAAGCAAATACTGCAGAGCATCGACGTTTCCGACTTGAGCAGCTATGTGGACTGGCGTGTTCCCCTCCTGAAAAACCATGACAACAGCCACCATAGCAACATCAACCATAACAACAGCAACCATAACAACAGCAACCATAACAGAAAATATGAGGAGATGACAGTCAGAGGCGACGGAAGGTATAATACAGGTTAAGATCCACGTTATTTCCGACGTGACGCTCAGTTTCACGTCAAATTTGGCGTAGAACTCCTAGTTTCGACGTGAGCTGCAGGTCACTTGCGTTGTTTTTTTCAACGCGCGAGCCAAATAACACGAGCTGAACTTTCGTGTCACGTCAGAAAATAACGTGCATCGTAACATTTCTACTAGAGTGTGGTACGGTCAGCCATCTGAAATAGAATTTACTCGCGGGGGAGGGGTGGCGGAGCCGAAAATTTTGGAACTTTAGAGTCCAGATCAGTGTAATTTTATTGATTCACAGGGTAATTGGGCCAAAACGTGGGACGGTCAATACCGCAGTGACCGTACAGTGTCCGTTGCACCTGCCACAGGACTTGAGAATTAGAAGGAGGATACAGAGGAATAGGAGGAGGGGAGGATGAGGAAGAGATCGATAAAAATACATAGACAGGTAGAGAGACCAAGAGAGTAACGTACATGCATAAGCAAGAGTACATACCCCCCCCCCCAAAAAGAGTACATAACCCCCCCCCCCCCAAGAGTACATAACCCCCCAGAGTGTGCAACGCCTGATCCAGCTCTGCATAGGGTCTTGGTCGAGCGTAATCGGATCTTTGCGTCATAATACCCTACAGATCTGAGGGGCACCCGGTGAGTCGCGGAGATTCTCGGATCAAAAATAACGGTGCCCTGCCCCGAGACCGGCCTTGCGGTGGTGTGGAGTGTACGCATGACATCAGAAGATCCGACTACACTCGACCAAGACCCTATGCAGAGCTGGGTCAGGCGTTGCACACTCCGGGGGGTTATGTACTCTTTTTTGGGGGGGGGGGGGTATGTACCCTTGGGGGAGGGGGGTATGTACTCTTGCTATAATGCACAATGTAAGTCTAGAATAGATGAGGGCTGACACTTCTGCAACATGTTGTCTTGTACAGAGTGAGACAGTGGCAGAGACAGACAAATAGAGAGACACAGAATCAGAACGGAGAGAAATGAAAGAGAGAGAGATAGAGATAGATAGATAGAGATAGAGATAGATAGATAGAGATAGATAGATAGATAGATAGATAGATAGAGAGAGAAAGAGAGAGAGAGAGAGAGAGAGAGAGAGAGAGAGAGAGAGAGAGAGAGAGAGAGAGAGAGAGAGAGAGAGAGAGAGAGAGAGAGAGAGGGAGAGAGAAAAAAAGAAAGAGAAGAGAGGGAGAGACTGTTGTTCTAAACACCGTGATGGACAACACAAACGTTTAGAGTTAACACTCTCAGGCCTTACCAAGTCTGGCAGTTCTAGTTCTGCGTTGACCGACGTCAGCATCTGCAGGATCCGAACATCGCCGCACAGCGCTCCATGCCAGACGGGGTTAGAGATGGGCCGCACCAGGTTCCACAGCTCCATAGCTACCCGGTCCACATTGATCTCCATGGTTTCCTGGTCATATGGAGGAGCATACGGAGTACACACACGTGCACCGGCAGAGGTAGCAGAATGGACACAAGGACATTGATGGCTGACAGCGAGAGAACAGTGATCTAAGCGGCCTAGTCGTTCATCAGCTGCCGAAACTGTAGCTATGCTATTTATCCTGCTGTCTACAACCCTTTATCCTGCTGTCTACAACCCTTGGAGCTGACAGGATTATTTGCTTTGCACTGACAGAAGACAATCATGGATGAGTTGGGATTTCTGCATCTAGAAGCACAGCTATCTCAAACAGGAAAGGCAACAGGCAATCAGCATCCGTATGACAACCTCCATCAAAACAATTATGTCGTTGCATGCAAAAGGAGGCCGGCATTTCTCTTCAAGAGCCTCCCTTCCCCAAAAGAGTCAGCCAGGAGAATTGCTAAAGTGGGTGTTTTCGCTTTGCTTTAGGGCAAGTGACGATAGAATTTACAACAATTTAATGTCAGCACAGTTCTTTGAGAGCAACCGGCACCGTAGCAATTGTGAACAGCCACATGAGAAAAACGTTCGCTGCCCACAGCACTGTGGCGTTATCAACAAAGCATGAGTAGCAAGTAACATATGACAGTCCTTTGATCGTCTGCACGACTCTATATGGTTCTTGTTGCAGTATAGATGCTTTATCACACGTCATTGGTGTACAGTCAACTTTGCGTATAACGACACTCGGTGGGGCGTCAGAAAAGCGTCCTTATTTGCGAAGTGTCCCTTTCTGTATTGTATTGTATTGCATTGAATTTATTTTACTTCGGTGGCTCAACAGCACAATGTCCTTATACCCGAAGTCTCATTATATGTAGTACAGTTAGATGGGCCCTTGCTCTGGGCATGGAAATTCTGTCGCTATTCGCGAATTGTCGTCATTTCCGCTGTCGTTATTAGCAAAGTTGACTGTGCACACATAGATGGGACACCGTGGTTATTCATAGTAAGATGTGCACATACTCGCACTGCTATTTCATATGTACTATACTCGCGCGACTGTGTGCATCATAGTACTTCTCCATGCGTGCGTACAGTCTACTTGGCTAATAACGACTGCGGATATAACGAAAATTCACGAATAACGACAGAATTTCCATGCCCAGAGCAAAGTCCCATCCAACTGTAATACATTATAATGAGACTTCGGATATAACGACACTTTGCGAATAAGGACACTTTTCTGATGCCCCGCCGCCGAGTGTCGATATACGCAAAGTTGACTGTACACCGAGTACTCCTCAGTAGTCAGGAGACAGGAAACCCCTTGGCACTCTTCATTGTTTTGTTTTATCTTGTTGTAAATTATGCTCTACTTCTTGTGCCATGACTTGTCTTCGATGGAAAGTAGACTAGCAGTAACATTACACTATTGTCTTCTTCTCCTCATTGTAAATGAAATACCGTAACCGCGTGTCTTTGAGAGTATGAGTGTTGCGATGGTGGCAGAGTGGTTGGGATTCGAATCCATGCCTCCGGAGAGACTGGACTTGTCTCGGCTTATTTTAGTTCCTACTTTGTTGGAACTGTTCATTTCGCTACGGCATGATCACGGACTAGACTGCTTGCACATCTGTGTCACATGACTGCATCTGTGTCATGTCACATGACTGCATTTGTGTAGAAAGTGCACATGGCATGTTATGGGGGCAGTGTAAACAAAACATTCCGACAGCATGTGACCCATATATGCAGGGACTGTCTGCATCTGGAACCAAAAGGGACGACACCATGTGACACATAGATGCAGGGATTGACTTGAGTTTTGGAGACAAGATGGCCGATATCATGCGACACATACTCGTATATGCAGGAGTTGTAACCAACATGGCTGTCCCGGACAGTGGTCCCCAATACCTGCAGCACATGAGCAATAGCTCAATAGAACCGTCCTACCAGCAAAAGGGTATTTTTCCCCACGGAGTTTTGTTTCGTTTACTTACATAGAGCATCTATCCAAGAACAAACTTCCTCGCTATGATATATGGTGTTGTGAATGTGGGCCAAGAGCACAGTGTGGAGAGGTGGACAGTTTCAAATTATTTTCAAATGGCCGAGTTCGTTGCTACTGCAATTTCACAAATTCATTTTATTTTCGGTACTTTCGGTGCATCTATTTCATACCGAAAATTTCAATACACCGAACACACACTAGCACGCATAATCCAATAGGGAACTGCTTCTCGCTACCTCAAATTTCTGTTCACCTAACCTGGCCTTTTGCCCTCACACCAAAAATATCGAGCACCTAAAAGTTCTGAAATTAGAGTACTTCTGAGTTACTCACATAGAGTCGTTTTTCGTCGTTGCTATGCAGTCTCTGCTTCAACTTGGATAACTGTAGCAACAGTGAACAAGGGCGGGAACAGCACACATCACACCAACAGGTATGGGCACACTTAGCCTGCCTATTTCGAATGTTTCTCACCTTCATTTACACTCCGACGTCTCTTATCCGGGCACCTTGGGACCGGGCACTGCCCGTATCTCAGATTTGCCTGTATCTCAGGATAACTCATTTACCATAATATCATTATCATTTTTGAAGAAGTTTATTTGGCACGTATTGCACATGTTCAGGTTACAGAAAGAATCCATTGATAAGATTATGTGGAGTTCACAGGCTGACAGTGACAAATAAGGACTTGCGCATCCCTGTAACAGGACGCATACTAGCTCCAGTCGACACTACAAATCAAACTCACTCCTTCTGAACTAACCAAGAACTGAGGGGAAACCCTCGTCGTGGCCAGCTTCATACTTTCAGAACAAAGTGTAGGGAGTCGTATTCGACTCCCTGCTGTATTCGGTGTACGGTGTAAGAGGTAGAGTAAGGATGTGTAGTTGTGTTGTTGGATGGCAAATGAAGTGTGTTCCTAAACGGGGATCGTGCGTAGAGTACTAGCTGTTCATGATACATGAATAACAATAATTAATTCGGGGATCACCATACAGAGCATGCATACATGCAGAAAGAGTGTAAATAATTACGATGAAATGAGAATGGAAAGCCGACGGGAATGGGAGAAGCAGTCTCTAAGACCATTTCCGTCACAATCCCCCTAATTAA